GAATGTTTTCCTTTCCCAAACACCCTACACCACTGGGCTGTCTGCAGGGTTGTCCCACAGTTAGAATTGTTCCATGCTGAAAGCAGCTACAATGGTCCCAGAAGGATACTGGCTCTACAAGCAGGTTGTGAGGTTGGGCAGCTGAGATCCAGCTCTTGCACCAGTGCTTTTTGGTACTTCCAGGTGCAGTGAAGCAGAACTAATGGAAGATTTCTATCTCCTTTTCTACTTTTGACACCCCAGGCAGCAAACCATTGTTTCTGGGAAGCAATAAAATAGATTTAGATTCCTTCAAGCAGAGCTGAATGTGAATCTTTTCCCTCCCTACAAACAGCTATGTAAGAAAGACTGAAGAAGCCCCATGCTTTGATGACTGTATGATGTGTTTTCCTCATGATCTCCCCAAAACTGCTGCCTCCTTGTAGGCTTGTCCTTTTTCTTTCTTTGGAATGACAAACCAAGCACAGATTTGAACATGCAAGATAACTGGAAACAACATGCAAAAAAAAAAAAGACAAAAAAAAAAAGAAAAGAGAGACAACATGCAAGGCTCCTCTTCTTTTCCAATGTAAAAGACATGAATTACCCAGAGCTCCCCTTCTCTCCTTGTCCAGCTCTGTGCCTGCTGCATTGTAGTTAGGCCCCCACCAATCTCTGATAACTGAGCCTTGAAGTCTACAAGGAGGAAACAATCCCCCAAAGAAGCCTTTATGCTATTGGCTTGTGATCCTCTGGGCAGGACTAATCATAGAAATGTTTGTTCGAAGGGACCTCTGAACATCTCTTGTCCAACCTTCAGCCTTCAAAACCAGCATGAGGTCAGGTCAGTCATGGCTTTGTCTAGCCAACTCTCGAAAACCTCTGAGGGTGGAGATCCCACTACATGTTCAGGTAAGCTATCAGTGCTAAGCTACCCTCCTAGAGATCACACTGTCATCATCAGTAACCATATAGTAATGCAGCATAAGTGATAAGTGGTCCATCTAAATCAGCAGCCCTAGGTTTAATCTGTGATCAGCATCGGGAGACAGGTGGGAGGCAGATGCCACCCCAAAAGATGCTCTTCTCTGTCCACCAACTCTAGAAGGAGAACAGATGTTCAAGGTTGTCAGTAATCCACCTCTGCTTCACATGACTTCCATCAACACTGTGACATTAGGAAAAATTCCTTGCCCAAAGGGCTGTCAGGCACTGGAAGGGGCTGCCCAGGGAAGTGGTCGAGTCCCCAGCCCTGGGGGGATTTAACAGCCGGGCAGCCGAGGTGCTGAGGGTTGGGGTTTGGGGGTGGAATGGCAGGGGTAGGGGAACGTTTGGACTTGAAGATCTTAAAGGGCTTTCCCAACCTAAATGATTCTAGGATTCTAACTTTGGCTCAAATTTATAATGGCCCCAATGACCACGACTTTTGCTCTATGGGTGATTTCTTCAGCTGAAGTTCACTGTGCCACTGTCACTTACATCAGGTGAAACCATACTCCCTTACCCCCTTTTGCAAGGCAGATCACTTGACCTTGAAGCACTCTAGGATGCCACGGAGTAGCTCTGCTTTATTACGGTCAGAGAGGACAGATTGTGCAAACTTTCCAGGCTCTCAGGTATGGCTTATGGCTACTTAGCGACCACATGGGGACAGTTTCTCCCATTTAGAAGAATTCCAGAAACTAAATGTAACACAGGCAGATTGAATGTGCCTCCTGCATTGTATACCTTGATCTGATTTTTTTCCTTTTGTGGTCACTTTTATTGTTGTTGGGTTTTTTGTTTTGTTTTGATTTGTTTTCTTGTTGGGTTTCATTTCTATATTTTAAAGGGCCTAGACTGTGCTTGTTCCCTTGCGCCCTTTGAACACCAGCCGGATCAATAAATCATTTCAGGCCAAAGGGTGCACTGCTCCCTGTGATCTGCAAACAAACTTCTCAGCAGGGCTTGCCCCACCTCTAATATAAAATAATTCTGTTCTACACCAGCAGAAGCAGCCTTCGGAGTTGGGTCTATTCATCATACCGCTGAAAAGAAAAATAAAACCCAGGGGCAGGGAGTGAGTCTCCAGCCTGGCTTTCAGGAGGCAGTGGGAGCTGTCAAGACAGGAAGAAGCATGGCTGGCTGCCATGGGGGAGATCTTGCCAAAAAATGAGGTCGTTTGGGCATCTGACATGGGAACCATCAGTCTGCATCTCCAGCAGGTAGACTTGGTATGGATACAGTGACACATCAGTGCCATGTGCTGCCATTATTATCAAACAGAGGGTCAAACGGACTTGGGCACAGTGCTCTTCCTGTCTGCAGAGTCACTTGTTTTCCTTCTAGGAAAGGCTAGGTCTTGCAGAGCCAAAATAAAAATGCATTGTGAGGGACAACTCTGTCCTATACCATTAAAAATCCAAAGACAAGACAGGTAAGGGACCTGGTGGGATGGTTACACAACCCAAGTTCTTCATGGCAGTTAGAAGAGTTCTCCTGCCCCCTGAGTGGGTGCTCCTCAGAAATACTCTGAGTGATATCACAGGAGACTGCCTGAAGATTTGGGGTGGCCCCCCAGGATTTATATTGCTCCAAGTCACTACCACTTTGTCCCCATAAATATTGCCTTCAAGTGGGGTCTGGTGCATCTCAATTGTGAAGACCATGTTGCCCTTCCCAGGCTTTTTCTTCTGGGTCTGTAATGAGGGAAGAGGCAATAGGATGAGGTCCTCCATCTGACTGAGAAAGACACAGATGCATATGTCCATGGGTGATTAGCACAAATAGAAACCAGGTTCCAGATTCCATATCATCAAAGGAGGGAAGGACTGGACTTCTAACCACTTTTCACCCTGGGTTCTGAAGCCTTTGTGCTGAAACTAAGCTTGTGAGCCCCAGCCAAGCAATTAATTACATTAAAGCTAATACAGTGCAGATTACAAACTTTTGTTCTGTCAAAAACCCCTCAGCCCACAAGAGGATCTAAAACTATCCATCTCCTTCAACTCCTGCAGCATGAAGGAGCAGACACACTGAAAAATGGAGATTGCGTTATTCTCTTCACAAATACCCCGTAACATTATCATTTCATGTGTCCAAGGGCATCTGTAGTCTAAAACTCAGTGGATGGCAGTTCTTCTGCAAAGTGGGAAGATCTTTTCCAAATTGAAAAATCCTCTATCTATGACCATTGACTCTTTTGACCACCTCAGAGATGGTCTGGCAACTTGCTGCCTCATTTGTGAAGTGCTAGAGTGAATTTCTGGGGTGTTATGGAGGCGCTGCCACTTGGAGGTTCTTTCACAACTTCTTAAGAAAACATTTCTAGGGAAAAGTTGAATGAGAATTCATTCTGCCTTTAGTGGATTAGTGGACCTCTTGCAGATTAATTTGATCTAACTACCTGTTGCTAATGATTGCCATGAGTCTTTAAAGCCTTGAATATACTGCTGTGAGTATTAACATCAAGATGATTCCTCCTCTTGGCTGTACTATCTGGGATTGGACAGAGTTTTGCTATAGAGGATGGAGCAGTGAGCCTGAGTTTTATAACCCGAACAGCTCTGATGAGCTTTTTCCAAAGCCAGGACTTGGGTCCATGAGATATCTAAATGACAATGTATTAGATTTCTTTCTGTTCCAGTCAATGGCAGAGCTAATGCTGGCCTCAGTCGCAGAACCAGTTCTCAAAACAGGACCAAGGATGCCCTTGCATTCCCAAAGCCCTGTGATTGGATTCCTTTGCTCTACCAAACCGACCATGGTAAAGAGCCCAAAGTCTGCTTGCCTGTCATACGCATCTCCCCGGCCCTACCAACGCTGCTGCTGACAATTAAGGAGAGACATCAATACTAAATGCTGACAGTCTCATAGAGAAGAGTTAGAAAATAGGATGTGAGAGCAAGACCAGCTGGTTGATATCACCAGATCCCAAGGTAGGCAGGTGGTCTCTACTACAACAGAAGGAAATGCCTTTGCACATATGTTTTTTAATGAGGTGTTAATTGGGCACTGGGTGAACAGGACAAAGAAGCAACAGAGGGTGTGGCTTGAGGTTTTGGCTGATGTAAAGCCGGAGGCCTGGAATAAAATGAAAGCTGGGCTTTTATGGCCCCTTGCTGTCATTTCCAACGAGAGAGGGACACCAGGTGGGCAGGCAACTCTGCTCTAAAATCACAGCTGGCTTTGGGGACCTTTCCCTCTGCTGGTGATGTCTCCAGGTACTCCCACAGTGCTGGCTGTGGGAAGAGAGATTGCTGACTTGCAATGGTGATGGTGGGAGGCTTTCTGGCTTGTCCCCTTCTCCCAGACAATAGAGAGAGATGGGAGAGGACGCCCACCCAGGACTAGCTGGGTGTGTGCAGGGTGCCTCAGCACACAGCCCCAGTGCCGATAATTAACACATGTGAAATTGATGAAAGAAACCAATGGGGGTTGATTACTTTGCTACCCACATGAGAGAGCTTTCTCCCTTCCTTCTCCCTCCAGCCCTACATCTGGTAGTGATTTTGCAGCCCAAAATAGAAAGGAAGTGGAAGAAAGAGGCTTAGCTGAGCTTGGGCCCATTTGAGGAGAATATAGAGAGAGAATATGTCAGAGGGAAGCAGAGAACGGGCGTTGGAAGGATGCTTTGTTTCCCATACCACTGGTGTCTTGCTGTGAAAGATCTTGGGAGAACTGGTGGTTGATGCTAGCTCCCATGCTTTGCCTGGTGATGTTATCTCTGGTGCATTGCCTGGGCTCTGGGTATAGTGATAAGGGCTGTAAGCCCATCACCATGACTCTTGTGTGCTCCTGAACCCTTGGCATCTGGAATTCTGGAGCAGGAGAAAGAGGCTGTGACAACTTGGCTTTCCAACACCTTGTGCTGAAAGATCTTCCCCGTAGCCTAACCTGAAAAGCTGATATGTTAGGCCTTCTTCAGCTGCCTCCCTCACAAGCTCTGAGCACTGCGTAGGAGGCTGAGGGGAAGGGCTGGCGTTGAGCAGAGAAGGGCCTAGCCCCAGCCATGGAGTCTGGGTTGCTGTGGGAACACTCACCATGCACCTTGGGCACCTTGGCTTTCAGGTGTCGTTCACACTTAGCCTTGGCTTTTAGCAGTAGGAAGATCTGCTCCTCTTTGGTGATGACATCATCAGCATCCACCTGCAGCGATAGGGAGAAATGAGGTTAAACCTCAGCATGCCACGAGCAGCAGGACACAAACTTCCTAGACAATGCAGGTGATCTGAATGCAAAATCTGCTTTGCATCAGCCATCTCTTCCACCACCCTTGCACCCTGTATCTCACTTTGCTCAGTAATTAGCATCCCAAGCAACACCTCTTACAAGGTGCCCCATGGAATCATCTACGTACATGGCAAAGGAAGCGCACGCTGCAGTTGCTCACATCATACACATGCGCACACAGGAAGGTGGTAATTTCTGGGGTGGCGTGCCCCACCTTGGAGGGATGAGGCTACTATCCAAGAGGAAAAATAATCCTAGTAAATAATACTGTAGCAAAGACTCCTTTTAAGAATAGCAGCCTGCCATCACCAACGCAGTGCTATTTCCACTTCTGCCTGCAGGCCTTTAGCCACATGGCATCAGGCTCTATAAATGTCCTACCTAACTCCAAGAACATGTGCAGAGGAGGCTGCCTTAGGCAGGGATGTGAGCTGACAGTGTCTACCCCCCAAAGACCGAAGGCTCAGGGAAAAGAGTCTGTGAGCATCATCCTGGGAAGATTAGATTTCTCCTCCTGTAAGGTCTCCAGAGGCCAAAGGACAAGAGGAAGGGGAAGAGGGAGGGTGCTTTACCCGGAGCCTGTTTTACCCTCCTCTGTTTGCTGCTTGCTGATACGTGGTGATACTCAACCCTCAAAAGCACTTGCTAGTCATAAAAAAAAAAATAAAAAAAAAAAATCTTGCTTCATGAAGCTGGCACATTCCCATCAGGCATGGCTGGCCTTGGGAAGCTGGGGGTACAACCGCGGGGAAGGTTTGTTCTATGAATGCTTTGGTTGTCAGAGCACACAGAGCTTTGATCTCATGCAATGCTGTTGCTTTAATTTTCTGCTGTGCCTCTTGGGTGCTTAGCTTGTGTCTCCTGCTCAGACATCCAGGACCAGTCCTACTGCCAGATAAAATCTGAGATTAGGAAGAGCTTTCTCCCAGGTCAGTTTGGCAGGAATGGATGGAAATGTCACTGTACCCATTCCAGCTACGCAGGGATGACACTGCCTTTGTTATTTCCTGCTTTTTTCCCCCTAAAAGAACAGAATACCTAACCTTCTCCTACATTCATTTTCTGCTCTAGGTTTGAATGGGTGATGCAAATCATACCCTGTGATTTGCAGCATAGAAGGGCGTGAGGAAAGTTGCGGACCACGTCCATCTACTGGCAAGCCTCCCTTGCAGGCTCTGACCTGCAGGATCTGACCACCCTCGTGAAACCTTTGAGGTTTGGGTCCATCCTTGGCACTCTGCCAGTCGTGGCAGAAGAGTCTCTGGGAGGTCAGGACTGGGAGGGATCCTCATCCACAAGATCACCCCAAAGCTGGTTCAAAGCACAGAAGAGCCACCTGTAACACCTTAACAGGGCTCCTGAATTAAAGATGTCGGTAAGGCACTAACCTGAGAGAATTAAGTGCTATAGTAAGTTGGGATAAATCACTGCTCTCCTCATTGCCTCTGTTTCCCAATATTTGTCTGCCTTGATTAATCAGACTATAAATGCAATGAGAGCAGATGTTGCTTCTCTCTGGATTTGTACAGAACTTAGCACTCGCTTACTCATAAAAGCGTAATGTAAGCAACAAGGGCTGCAGTACTGTTTTAAAATTATATTGGCTGTGCTGGTGAGACTGGCCACTGTAAATCTATAATGCAAAACCTAGGGTAGTGCTCCACATCCTGATGGATGGAGCAGACCCAAACCTCAATGCATAGTACAGGCAGGCGAAGGAAAGAATACAAAATCTTGTGAAGCCAGTAGTGATCTGAGAATAGAGGAAACGGCCTCAAGTTGCACCAGGGGAGGTTTAGGTTGGACATCAGGAAAAAGTTTTTCACTGAAAGGGCTGTCAGGCACTGGAAGGGGCTGCCCAGGGAAGGGGTCGAGTCCCCACTCCTGGGGGGATTTAACAGCCAGGCAGATGTGGTGCTTAGGGCCAAGGTTTAGTGGTGGGATGGCAGGGGTAGGAGAACGGTTGGGCTGGGGGAGCTTAAAAGGCTTCTCCAACCCAAACGATTCTGTCATTAGGAAACCTGTCGATAGGCTGTAGAGCCTGCCCATGGAGGTGGCTGCTCATTTCAACCCCTCTGAAGCACTGACCAAAGCGGGGTTATGACAATTTGTTGTCCTCCCCCAAACCACTGCTATTCAGAATGAAGGTTCTTTCACTCATTTTAAGTTAATTCATTCTGGAAAGCAAGCAAGATAAACCAGCTGAAGGCCAATCAGTTCTCGAGTGAGGCTTACTACAAATGACATAATGGGGGTTAATGAAATCCAGCTTTAGAAGTAAACTCAGATTCAATTTCCCAGTGTGCTGCTATAGAGAGGAACGGTGGGTGTTTGAGCAGCTGGTGTGGTAATGGACACGCAGATGGAGAGCTAGATCTGATAAGGGGATCCTGAGTAAAACAGAAGTTAGTTTTTCATGTCCTTGGAAAAAATCCACACTAAAAATCCTTCAGAAGTGGGAGTCGGTTTCATAACCGCGTTAACGTTAATGCAAAACAAAGCTGTCCCTTTCCAGATGTTTGGCCTGTCCACGTTTAAGGCAACATCCCGCATTTCAACTCTTTCATTAGAAACATAAAACCTCTGGGTCAAATCCTGCTGTCATTTGTATCTGCAAAAACCCTGAGTGATTCCATCAAAGCTGGAGGAGTTAGTCTGGATTTATAGTGGCCAGAGCAGAATCTGACCTCAGGCATTTTAAATGATTCATCCCTTGCACGCTTAGTCCTCAGGTTCCTGCCAGACCCTAAAAAAACCGCCAAACAGCTCCCCATTCTCTTCCCTTCCCCCAAACTGGTTTAAATGTTAGAGATATGTTCAGGACATGTCTTTCTGTGTTTCCCCTTGGTCAAGGGGATGTGATGTGAACACATATGTGAATAAGAATAGAGATTTTCCTTAAATCCCGTGACTTGAGGGAGATGCCTATTCTCAAGACACTTGTAGGAAAACTACGCAGCCTGGCAATGCTGCTCTTCTGCTGCCGAATAACTCACATTAAACACCAAAGTAAAACTGGGCTGATAGCTGGTGGTTGTCATCCTTGTCATCCCCTCCTGTCCCAACCCCACTTTCCATCCCCTGTCAAGTCCCTTGCTGAGACATTTTGACGTGTCAGCCAGGCTGAACGTTCTCCAGGGACAGAGGATTGAGCAGGATCAGGCACTGGAATGACTCAGCCTGGGGTTCAAGGGACAGTAGGTAGGACAGGGCAGACACCCACAGCTGGAAACCTTAGAGCAGCTATGGACCTGTCAGCTGCTGGAGCACTTTTAACTGTTCAATACCACTTTTTCCCCTGCATCTGATTTTCTTGCTCTGGATCTTCTGATCTTAAGACAATGCTGCCCTGCTCATCTTTCCATCCTGGCTGTCAAAGGTTAAAAAACCTCCACAGGAACATTTTCTTCGCAACACAGATGCACTCGTGATATTAGATACACTTGGATCTGGCTTGGCAAAACTTTCTCTTTGACAAACACTCTCAACACCTGATCCAAAAATACTGTGGGACGGCCTTGCTAAAATCATTAGCAGTTGCGTATGCCAATTTTTGCGATCTGAACATCCCTAGGCAGCAAAACAAGCGGCTTCATTTTCAGAAATGCGGAGGTATGGGCTGCAGGAGTTCATAACAGGTGGGAGCTACTGCTGGTGAAGCAGCCCCTGCTTTGGAGTGGATTTGGATCCCTTGGATTGGAAGCGAGATGGGACTGGAGATACTGGTGTGAGAGGTGTCTGTAAGATAGTGGGTGGTGTGGAGAAAGGGGGCTAATTAATCACAGTTTTGCAGAATTTGAGACCTGGGAGGCACAAGATGAAGAGAACAAGGTCTAAAAGAAACAGGGCGATGCATGTAAGCAGATCTCATCAGTGGATTCAAAACAGGATTAAGCCAATTAATAAAGGACAAATCCATCAGTAGCTGTTGAACACTGTATCCTGGATGTAAATTCCTGATGCAGGAAAGTCTTAAACTGCTGACCACCAAAAGCTGGAACGTGACACCCGTAAGAGCTGGGTTTGTTCAGCCTTGAGCAAAGGAGGCGCAGGGGGGATCTCATCACCACCTACCAGTACCTAAGGGGTGGCTACAAAGAGGATGGAGACTCCGTTTGGACAAGGAGTCCCATGGAGAGGTCAAGGGGGAATGGGACCCAAGTTGCTCTTGGGGAGATTCCGATTGGACATGGGAGGGAAATTTTTCCTCATGAGAACAGTCAACCACTGGAATAATCTCCCCAGGGGAGAGGTTGACTCCACCACATTGGACACTTTCAAGCCTCAGCTGGACAGGGTGCTGGGCCATCTTGTCTGGACTGGGCTCTTGCCTAGCAAGGTTGGGCCAGATGATCCTTGAGGTCCCTTCCAACCTGGGATTCTATGATAGCTGTCTCTTTCTCCAAACATCCTAAACTGGCAGCTCCTGGAGATGGTCTGTTATGTCAGTAGATTGATGGAATAAGGCTATTTTCATAGATATCTATAGGCCTTCTATTCTTCTAAGG